ATACAACGGTGGGCCTATGGGCAGTGACCAGTCCATGATGGTGGAGCCCTCATGAGTATCATCAGTGTCCTTACAAGAGAGATCACAGAGAGCTATCTCTCTCTGTTTCTGCTATGGGAGGGGACAATGAGAAGTCACCCATCTGCAACCCATCAGAAGGTCTTCCTCAGAGCCTAACCATGTTGGCACCCTGATTTCAGACTTCTGGACTCCAGAACTGTAAGAAATAAAATTTGTTAATAAGCCACCCATTCTATGGTACTTTGTTATAGGACACCAAACTAAGATACCATATAATCTAGCATTTCCACTTCTGGGTGTGTACACAAAAAAAAGTGAAAGCAGGACCTCAAAGAGATGTTTGCATACCCATGTTCACAGAAGCATTATTCAAAATAGCCAAGAGGTAGGGGCGCCTGGGTGGCTCAGTGGGTTAAGTGTCCAACTCTTGATTTTGGCTCAGGTCATGATCTCACAGTTTGCGAGATTGAGCCCTTGCATTGAGCTCTGTGCTGACAGTTTGCTTAGTATTCTCTCTCTCCGTCCCTCCCTGCTCTGTCTCTCAAAATAAATACACTTAAAAAAAAAATAGCCAAGGGCACCTGGTTGACTCAGTTGGTTGAACGTCTGACTCTTGATTTCGGCTCAGGTCATGATCTCACAGTTCATGAGATCAAGCCCCACGTTGGGCTCTGTGCTATCAACACAGAACCTGCTTGGGATTCTCTCTCTCCCTCTCACTGCCCCTCCCCTGCTCTGTCTCTCAAAATAAATAAACAAACAAAAAAAATAATAACCAAGAGGTAGAAGCAACTCAAATGTCTACTGATTGAGGAGCACACAAATAAAATGTGGTATATACACATAATGAAATATTATTCAGCCTTAAAAAGACACTTGGGATGCCTGAGTGGCTCAGTCGGTTAAGGGTCCGACTTTGGCTCAGGTCATGAGCTCATGGTTCATGGGTTCAAGCCCCACGTCAGGCTCTGTGCTAACAGCTCAGAGCCTGGAGCCTGTTTCAGATTCTCTTTCTCCCTCTTTCTCTGTCCCTCCTCCACTTATGTGAAGTATCTAAAATAGTCCAATTCACAAAAACAGAAAGTAAAACGGTGTTCACCAGGCTGTGGGTAGAGAAGAAAATAAGTGGAAAACAAGTGAATTTAAATACTCATGGTAATCAACTGAATCTACATTCAAACAAGAAAAATATGGCATATTTTAACTCTAGTAAGCTCAAATGATGGAAAATATTATGAAAGTTATCTGAAACAACAGAGAGAGACATGAGGTCAGGTGCCCCTCCTGTAGGTATTACTAAATGCAAGATGTTATTATGAATCCATGAAACTTAATGTGCACTTATCCAAAATTAGTAAATCAGACTTCATAAATATGACCAGGAGAACAAAAGTAAGCTTACGGAGACCAGAGGAAATAAGCGAATGGCCCACTGCGGGAAGGACCTGTGACACAGGACACCATAAGCAGCAGCAGGTTCACGCAGAAACAACTTCTCCTCCCTGGAGGAGGTCCGCGGGCAGAGAGGAGGCGGGCAGCATACACAGCAAACGAGAGCCAGAGAACAACAGGAAAGCACGAGACGGTGGGACACCAGGGACCAGGTGCACCTTCTATGAAGTTCAGATGGAAACCCAAAATAGTGTTCGTGTGTTCACTCATGAATGCAATTTACAGAAATTTAGAAATTTTGCAGAAAATAGAAGTGTCATAAGCAACAGTGGAAGTCAATAAAGTATAAGAAATGTGCTAAGTTTTCTGTAAAACACAATGATATTTACGTATCAATTCAATATACTGATACGAACATGATGAATCTAGACAGGGAGAGTAATTTTTAGAACACAGCAGTTACAACAAAAAATTAAGTCAGTGAAATTTACACAAACTCAACAAGTTATGCACAAAAAACTGAAAACATACTATAAAAAAAGCAATAAATCTTACATGACAAATTAATGGTATTTCTGGGATTTGTACAGTACAAATATAAAATATACATGTTTTTAAGATATCTAAAATTCCCAATTTAATAAATTTAATTCACAAAAGTGTAACTTGATATTAGGTACTAGGTCAGGTGAGGACAAGTAGAAAAAATAATTCAGACTATCTTTTCAACATATTCCAGGGTTTGTGCTGGATTTAGGGAACCTGTTGCTGAGCCATACCTTGAAAACTAAAGAAGGAAATAGTGTAAAATATTTAAAACAATATCTGTTCCCCAATTCAACACTCCCACTTACAAATATAAAACAAAGAACACTACTGGTAGCATCAGAAATTCACAATTGATGATTAAATAATAAAAATCAAGTTCTTGGGTGCTTGGGTGGCTCAGTTGGTTAAGCATCCAACTCTCAATTTTGGCTTCAACCTTGATCTCACAGATCGTGAGTTCAAGCCCCATGTCGGGCTCTGTGCTTTCAGCGAGGAGCTGCTTGGGATATTCTCTCCCCCTCTCTCTCTCCCCTTCTCTCTTTCTCTCTCTCAAAATAAATAACTTAAAAAAAATCAAGTTCCTTTACAATGCATAGAAATGGACAAGATGAAAGGAAAAAGTGGCTTAAAGGAAACGTATTACGGTGAACTTCATTAAAGTCATCGCTCAGCTTCAGCAACTCCCTCATTAAGATGCTGCATAATTATACCTGTTGAGGTAGAATGAACAACGGCCCGCAGAGGGGATGGCAAAGGCAACATGAACAGTCCAGTCAACAGCCTCAGACATATGAGAACGTGAACATGGACAACATTGCCCCAGGACAGATTCCTGTTTTGTTTATTGTGGCTCAAAGGGATGAATTAGCATCTAATGAACAACGTTGTCACAGAGCCCTTGAGAGATAACGTGACACACCTCAAAAACCAGAAAGAAAACTGGAATCACTGGTCCAGTCAGGATCTCGTGATACTTTCCATCTCAGTATCCAGGGCATATGCTGACCAGTCTAACCAGTAGCTTCAAGAGGTGCTTCTGTAGGAAGCAGACTATTATTAGAACACGGTAGTCAAAGTGTTCTTGGTCAAGAATTTTCTGAACCAAGTAAACCCACTCCACAGAAGACTCCACCAGAAGCAGTCCATAACCTAAAAGTGGACTATCACAGCAAAAAAAAAAAAAAAAAAAAAAAAAAAAAAAAAAAAAAAAAAAAAAAAAAAAAAAAAAAAGGACGAAATTTCAGACTCTAGGGATGTGTCTTCCAAAAGCAAATTTCAGAGGCAAAATCACGCAGACTTAAGAAAAATGAAATCGTTGCCAAACTAGGTAGAGAGGTGGAAGAGAGAGAAAATACAAGATGTCAGGGCCAGGTGATGGAGGATCTTGACACGGGACCGTGCCCTCCACCCACAGACACTAAGCTAAAAGCTGAAATGCGCTCCCATGTAGGACAGGGGATCAAAAAGACCTTTCTGCCAACTGTCTTCACACATCTGAGTAAAAAATCTCGTAAGATCCAACCCACCTCCCCATTTCATGTGCCCCTGAAGTGTGGCAGAAGCAGAATGGAAGCTATGGCTAAGGAACCTGAACAGGCAGACAGGCCTCAAGAGGGCGCCATGCAGCTTCCAGGGAGCCTGATGGAAGGAAGGCAAGAGCAGCCAGTGTCTTCCCTGCTGATCAGGTCTCCCAGGGACAGCCAATGGGTGTGGCACGAGGACAGGTGCAAGAGTCAGGACTACGGACGCCTCAGCTCTGAGCCGCGTGGACGAAGACCCGAGCATCTGATGGCATCAAGCCCAGAAGGAGAGATCCCCTTTGAAACGGCCCTCCCATGCCCTGCAAAGTCAAGGACCAAAGCAATCACTGCACCAGGTCACTGTGTGCGGATCACGGATCGCGGCGTTTGTGTTCATCTCTGCGGGAGCTGCAGCACCGCTGGAGGGTGAAAGGGTCAACCTCACACATCTGAAGACCGAGTGATAAGCGAGGGAGGAGAAAAATGTCCTCCAAGTGTTCATAAGAAAAAAGCCTTTGTTTTCCCATAGAACTCTCCCACTGCAGAGAGTTTCTCAAACACCATTTTTTTTTTAGTTTATTTATCTTGAGAGAGATAGAGCACATGAGTGGCAGAGGGGCTGAGAGAGGGAGAGAGAATCCCAAGTGGGCTCGGATGTGGGGCTCAAACTCACGAAACTCTGAGATCACAACCTGAGCCGAAACCAAGAGTCAGATGCTTAACCGACTGAGCCACCCAGGCGCCCCTCTCAAACACTATTAATGTGCGGCCTCCTCTCTGCCCTTCTTTCCCTTGCTCCAAAAAGGACGTAATATTCAGGTCAAACACACATATTCCTGCTTATAAGAAGAAAGGAAGGTGAACGTGATGTGCTATGGCTTTTCCAGAATCTTCGCTTTTTGTTCAGCTGAGGAGAGAGGACATCACAGATGGATCTGGAAAGATCATTTCACAAACTCCTCCACTGCCTGCCTCCTTCTGAGAGCGCAGGCAACAGGATCGCAGAGATACAGCTCTCTTCCCAAACTACTGAATCCAAAGCGCACAGGAAGCAAATAGGGAACTGGCTATTTAAAAATTTTTTTGAACATTTGTTTATTATTATTGAGAGACAGACAGAGACAGAGCATGAGCATGGGAGGGTCAGAGAGACGAGGAAACACATAATCTGAAGCAGGCTCCAGGCTCTGAGCTGTCAGCACAGAGCCCGATGTGCAGCTCGAACTCACAAACCACAAGATCATGACCCGAGCTGAAGTCATGCTTAACTGACTGAGCCACCCAGGTGCCCCGGAAACTGGCTATTTTAAAAGTCTGCCATTTGGTTTTATGCAACTTAAACTCCAGAGCAACTCCTGATGTATCATCTGAAAAAACAGGAGAGTAAAAGTCCAGCTGCCACATAATGAGGCTTTTCAATTCTGAGGCAACAGGGCTTCAAACTCAGGCAAGTAAGGCAGGGGCTCCCAGGAGGCAAACTAAGGAAAACTGCAAAGATACCCAAGGGCAGATCCCCACTTCTGAACAGATATTGTCCTCACCCAGGGAGACCAAGTTCCTGTAGTTCTCCAGCATCACGTCCCTGTACAAGGCCCTCTGAGCGGGGTCCAGGCACTCCCACTCCTCCTGAGAGAATTCTATGGCCACATCCTTGAAGGTCAATCGTCCCTGAAATGAAAACACACTTCACCAAGAGGCCATGGGGTGAGTTCTTCACACAAAATGAGAAGAGAGAGGTGCGTAAGTATCAATTTGGTTAAAGTGACTGTCCAACAGACCCATGTTAAGGTATTTTAAGCAACTTATGTGCCTCTAACTTTAAGTTCTTATGCCATTTCCATAAGAGATTATAATACCCTCCAAGTAAGTAGGGATTTCTCATTTTTTGTGGACAATACATGAAGAATACACCTAAAAAATCCCAATACTACACTGTCTATACACAGTATTAGATACTATGTTCTACACACGGAGTGATACTATCTAGATGAGCTACGGCACGAGTGCTATCTGCAGAGATGACAACATTCACAGTGGCTTTAAAGTTAGAATTTAAAAACAGTGATGAGGGGGCACCTGGTGGCTCAGTTGGTTAAGTGTCTGACTCTTGATTTCAGCTCAGGTTGTGAGTTCAAGCCCCACATCGGGCTGTGTGTGACAGCCCAGACCCTGGAGCCTGCTTTAGATTCTGTGTCTTCCTCTCCCTCTGCCCCTCTCCCCCTTGTGCTTTCTTTCTCTCTCTCTCTCTCTCTCAAAAATAAACATTAAAAAAATTTTTTTAATTAAAAATTAAAATGAAATCAATAAAACTTGTGATGAGGATAGCAATGGCAATGACTTCAAAGCTTCTGACCCTTCCTACATGCTAGGTATTACTCTAAAGGCTTCACATGTACCAAGCTGGTATCAGCAGAACAGCTCACTGGGGGAAGATGTGCTCCCATCCTATGGAGGGGAAGACTCATACTGGTCGGAGACACTCTAGGAAACTCTCCTCTGGTCAAAGAGCTAAGAATGACACAGCGAGCACATGAGCTCAGGTAGTCAGGTTTTAGAACTGAAACTCAAGAACTAAGTAGTTCAGTAACGGAGCATTACAAGTACACAGACAGAGGCTTCTTGAAACAAGCTCAAAGTTTACGACATCAAACTGCATAAAAGGTCCTCATAGACGCTGCATGCACAGAAACACTGCTATTCTTATCATTACCTAAATCATTAGCCTGATAGCGTAGAAAGAATTTAAGGCCATGGAATATACTTAAGATATAATTTCAATGGCTAAAAACTATGAAACTTATTTACGGAATGTCTTTATAAAAACCATGAGCCTGGGTGGCTCAGTCGGTTAAGTGTCCGACTTCAGCTCAGGTCACGATCTTGCGGTCTGTGAGTTCGAGCCCTGCGTCGGGCTCTGGGCTGATGGCTCAGAGCCTGGAGCCTGCTTCCGATTCTGTGTCTCCCTCTCTCTCTGCCCCTCCCCCGTTCATGTTCTGTCTCTCTGTCTCAAAAATAAATAAACGTTAAAAAATAATTAAAAAAAAAAACCCATGGACTTACACATCCATGCACTCGTGCAAATTAACTGAAATATGAGGTGTGGTTTCTCAACATAATTTTGAATGATTTTTTTTTTTTAAGAGAGAACATGGGCAGGGGAGTGAGGCAGAGGGGGAGAAAGAGAAACTTTTTTTTTTAAGTTTTTAAAATTTATTTTGAGAAAGAGTGTGAGAGGAGGAGGGGCAGCGAGAGAGGGAGCGAGAGAAAATCTCAAACAGGCTCTGTGATTTGTGTGCAGAGCCTGATGTGGTATTCAAACTCACAAACCGTGAGATCATAGATCATGACCTGAGCTGAAATCAAGAGTTGAAGCTACTTGTAAGGCCACCAGGTGCCCGAAAGAGAGAGAGAGAGAGAGAGAGAGAGAGAGAGAGAGAGAGAGATTAAGCAGTCTCCATGTTCAGCGCACAGCCCAACACAAGGCTCGATCCCATGACCCTGGGATCATGACCTAAGCTGAAATCAAGAGTTAGATGCTCAATTTACTGAGCCCCCCAGGCACCCCAAAAGAAAGGTTTTAAATGGCTGTTTTTATAGTAAACACAGAATCCACCAGTGGTTTTTGAGAGAGAGAGAGAGAGAGAGAGAGAGAGAGAGAGAGACTGCTCAAGGGAGGGCAGAGAGAGACAGAGAAATAATCTCAAGTAGGCTTCACGGTCAGCGAAGAGCCCAACACAGGGCTCACTGCCACGACTCTGGGATCATGACCTGAGGTGAAATCAAGAGTCAAGACACTCAACCAACTGAGCCACCCGAGTGCCCCCATTATCATTTTTATTCACGTGTATTTCAGCATGTTTGGGAAGATTAAAACGTATAAATTGTACTTCATTCGGTTTGTCAATATGACTATACAGTAGGCTAGTAAAGAGAGGGCACAAACATGAAAAAATAAAGAATACTTTAACTCCAATCTCCATAAAATACCTGCATTCAAAAATATAAATACAATTATATGCATTTAAACGTAGGTGTGTAGACATTAACAAACACCAAAGAGAGTTTGTTTATTCCACTAATAAAACAATGGTTCGAGATTAGAAGAGTTACCGGTGTTATGATATGCAGTACCTGAACAGATTCAGGTTTAAAAACATATCACAGTAATAGACACTTGAAAAAAATGACAAAAAGGAAATCGATGATTAAACTATCATTAAGCAAGAACATTTCACCAAATGTCATGATCAGTCGAGAACGCTGGATGCATTTGCTCTGAAATTTCGGTGGAGGAAAGGGGGTTGGCCGGGGCTCCTGCCATTCGCCCAGCCAGCCTGAGCAGGCATCAGCAGAAGAAGTTAAAGGAGGTAAAAATAGTGAGAGAGTGAGAGTGAGAGTGAGAGTGAGAGAGAGAGAGAGAGAGAGAGAGTGTGTGTGTGTGTCAAGGAGCTGAAACTGTTGAAATTCACAGATCTAAGGATGGAAACAGGCTAAAAGGGCAAGAGGGAGAACGATATTTCATGCAAGCAGGATCCTAAAAACAGCAGAGGTGGTTATATCCTATCAGACAGAAGAGACTATAAGACAAAACGGTCGCAAGAGGGGAAGGACATCATGATAAGAAGATTGGCTCACCAGGAAGACAGCACAACGGTAAACACACAGGCATGTGACATTAGAGCCCCCAGATGTATTAAGAAAATAATAAGGGGCGCCTGGGTGGCGCAGTCGGTTAAGCGTCC